CATATCGCAGACCGTCGGAAGCGCGATAATTAGTGAGATCAACATTAGCTCCAATGTGCAAGAACAGATACCCAGTGCATTTCGTAGCTGTGGATGTGAAAAGTACGAGAACGATCGTGGATCAAGCCTTCTCGGTGCCAAAATGCGTAAGAATAGCGAGAATGTCAGAAAAGTCTTACGAGTTACTGTGTAAAATATTCTCAGCGGTTCCGGAGAGAACTAAAGAAGAATTAGAGTCGATACTGGGAAGGAAATTCATGGGATACGCCAGTGGGTTTACCAGACTCCATGGGTTTACCAGACTCATCACGGCCCATAACGATAGTGATAGTGGGAGTTATGATGGCGATACAATGGCTGGAAGCTCATGTGAAGGAGAACAATAGACAGGAGGCGCCAACGAGAGAGCAATTGCAGAAATTGGATTGTCTAAAAGACTTAGATATTTTTGAGACAATGTGCAAGATTCTGAACATTCCGATGGAAGTAAAAAAGATATGGGCAAGAAGACGACTGATGCCATGATTTAGAGCCAACATGACTGCATGGTTGTACGAATATGCCAAGAAGCATATGTCGAAGCACGGCAGAGTGTACAATACGTATCATCTGGACATTGGAGCAGAAGCTTTCAAGCGAGCTTTCGTAACTAATCGGAATGCAGTGACCACCGCCGTAAAGAAAATCTCCAGGATGAGTGAACGTGATGGAAGGGAGAAAGAAGAGACGTTGAAGGAAGATTTGGAGAGAAACGTGACGTTGTGTCTCCACAACAGCTTCTGTAGGAACAGAGAATCTTACCTTGATCCCCTACCTTGTTGTAAACAAAGAGTAGAAGAGCAGAAGTGTTGGAGGACTGCTTCCAACAGCGTCAGAATAGCTACCGACATGTTGAAAGACACAAAAACTGAAAGTGCAGAGTCTATGTCGCAGGAGGAGAAGATGGAACATTGACAGAATGGCCGAAAAACAAGATGCAAAAAGAGACGAAATTAGAAGAATTTAGAAGTTTTAGAACTTCTAAACGACGAAAAAAGAAGAAACAAAGAAGTGATGAAAGAGAAGAAGTTAAAACTCAGAATTGTTTTGTATGTGACAGAAAAACTCAATTGAGAAACAAAGCAACCAAGTTGTAATTGAAACTGAAAGAAAACATTCAGTTGAGTTTTGAACAATAAAAGAATGTGTTGCATTTATAAATTTGCTTTTTGATTTTAGTTAGTGGCTTTAGAGACAGTTACTATTTATTTAGAAAGGCTTGAGTGAAGAGTATTTTTAAATATTCCAGCCTGCATGATCGTTTTTAATCAACTAGGACGATTGATCACTTTGTGGTGACATGAAAGGCTTGGGTAATCTCTTGAAGAGGGAGATTGTTTCACTGTCCTTTCTAACCACAAAGTTCTTTGGTTTTAATATTCAGGACCAATAACAACTAAATTTCCGAAGGGAATAAGCCTAGTAAGATAATTTTAGCTTGTTGGTTGGCAGGACTGTCCTGCAAACTAACACCTTTTAACACCTAGGAGAAAAAGTTTTAAATCAGGGCATTGACATTGGAAGTCAGAAAAAATGTTTTATCTTAATTCATATCCTCGAAAGTGCAGATTAGTGAAAGAATTTGGAAGGCTATAGTGATGTAGTATGATGCCATTTATATTTTGCAGTGAGTCGAGATGACGTGGATATAATTGATTTAGTGCATTTTGTAAATTCTGTTCAATGGCACTCTACCATTTTTAGGAAGACTACGAGATTCAATGGGGACATTGACCGGGCTGTCCGGGGAGTATGTGACATTCGACCAGAACTGACACAAAAAGGCCAGTTTGAGTTATTAGCCGCTGATCTTGATAATTGGCAGTTTTAACAGATTAGCGATGTTACTGGGACGATTAGACAAACTGTGAAGGTCAGAAAATTCTGGTATTTTAAATTTTTAAAATTTCGAATGATGACGTCAGATTTTCCGAGAAATGTCAAAAATCGGCATTTTGGAAGAAATCCAAAATAAAATAGAACAACGATAGAAGTTGCGAAAACGACAACGACGATACTTGCGAGAAAAACGACGATAAGAGATAGAAGAATACAACAGATTATTAGCAGAGACCGCTCCTAGTTGCAACGATTGTGTCGCTACAATCGTTGCAAGGCCATTCACACTAACGGTGAAGGGTGGAAACCAGCCTTCCGGAGAGGAAATAAGGGTGTTATCTCCCCGGATTCTTGGGACTTGACCTTGAACCATTTTAAACTAACTTTTAGCTTCCTGGTTATGTCCTGAATATTGAATTTAATTAACATCTGGATTCATTTTCTGACGATGAGAAGATAGGAGATAAAGGAAAGAGTTGATCCATCTTCGATGGAGATGATGATTTTTATCTACTGAACAAAAACAATCGTAATATAATAAATAGTAGTAGCCCTGTTTTTAGGAGTGACCTCGTGGTCTGGGGATACTGAGACCCAGCCATGAGCTCACTAATTTTGCATGTAAGTAAGTTAATTTGAGCGTTCTGGTCGAAGCCGGAGAACAGTAACGTTTTAGTCGACCCGATATTGAAAAGACCACCAAAAGAACTGGCTTTGATAGAGACGGTGAAAAGCATGTAGAGATTTGTTTAGACGCTCGCCAGTCGTTTTATAGCTTAGCTTTATTTTCCGTCGATATGTACTTCTGAACGAATGTTACAACTTGAATTCTGCTCGTCATAATAAATATATAAATAATTAAATAAATAAATAAAAGTGATTAAAAACTCTAAAATGAAATCTACTGCTCCAGGTTCAAGAGTAAAAGGCATAGAGTCAAAGACTACCTTGAGTGTAGTAAATGGAATTGTTCATCAGTGAGTTGAAGAGTGTTGAGTTAAAGTCGAGGTCAGTAGTCGAACTATGTTTTGGCTTACATGTTCCGCGGAGGCAGAGAATCGCACTTCTCATTAGTGAAAACAATATTCTTGTTCTTACCCAGTTAGTAGCATCCGATTGAGTGCAACTTCTTTTCAGGGAGATGAGAAAGACAACTGCGATACCATTTTACTCGTTAACGGAGAAGCCCCTCCAAGACAGCTATAAACCAGAGGTGTGAACGAACCTTGCTCTATATCGATAACACGTGAGCGGTACATGTTGATCTTCTCTTGCTCATGTTTCTTGTAAACGGTTATCGGATTTACAGCAGTAATGGAGAGAGCGAGCGGGTTGAAAACCCTCACGTCAAAAAATGCTATCTGTCCATAACTCCAAAATCCAATAGCAGAAACGTCGAGACGGGTTCCTTCGCTGGTGTTTCCTCTGATGTCCGCACCTTCAAGAACCGAAAGTAACGAAGGTTCGGAGTTAACATCAACACAAACTTGCCGGGCCACCCCCACTATTATGTCCCGTAAATCATTGCGACGTTTGATCACAAAACCGCTAGTGGAGCACCGAAGTGCGTGACTGTAAGTGTAGTCGGCTGAACAGACACACTTCGTAGGGAGGTTGTTGAGACGAATGGCGTATCTCATCCGAACCTCAAGCAACTTTCCGGTTCATGCGATTAAACGCATTCTCAGCATCAATTTAGAGGCAACCTTCTGTCTCCTTGTCCTCATAAAGTTGCTGCATAGCATGGACAGTCGCTTCTATCCCACCGGCATGACCCGCACATGTTTGCAAGAGACCCATGACTTCTATAACCTCATCGCGCATCAATTGCATGATCACAGAGCTGATGATGCGTCTGAAAATGTCTCATATTTCCACCGGTCTAATTCTCGGATTCTTATCGAGAGCAACAGCACGGGCAGCAAGAAAGGACGCGATAGGAGCAGGGTTGACAATCTCAGTGACTAACCGCCTCCCAAACCTCGCAAGACCATCGCACAGTTCGCGCGATTTGGGGAAGTTGTTGGAGCAGATCATACGTCGTGCATTCAAACCATCGACACCTGAAGGGCCAGCACTTCCACGAGCATAAAGGGCAGCAGTTTGGATGTTCTCAGCAGTTATGTCATTAGCAATGGTAAGAACAGGATCATCAACCGGGCATAGAGAAGACTACCCTGCTGAATGGGTTCCGACTTAGGATGCTTCTCTCTCAGGGTGCTGACAACTTAATCTGACATCGGCAATGGTTTGCTCACCGTATCAAGGGAACTGATGGCCGTGTTGTACTTACCCGAATGGATGAGAGCAGAGAAGAGCTTCGGGTCCCGTGGCTTCTGCTTGCTTGTTTTCATTGCATGGCAGAAGATCCTTTGAATTTCATCGGATTCTTTCAAAAGACCGTCGACATCACCATCATTCCATTTGACTAACCTCTGCTGGGACAGTTGACGTGGTCCCGGCTTTTCGAATTCTTGGATGTTTTCTGAAGGAGAAGTACAGGAAGCAGAGAGAAAGCGAATAAGGAAGATGTAGCACCTGCCGAATTGCTGTTATAAATTTCAAGCAGCCGACTCGTTTCTGCAACAAAAGCTTTACCTGCATTACCAGACGGGAGCGCAAAAAGATTTTGTTTGTAGTGTGCAGTTTTCATAAATGTATGCTCGAGATTAGCGCCATCTAATGTTTTTCCATTCAGCGTTTTTAACTTTTTTGGGTTTGTAGGGCTGTAATCAGGCAGAGATCTATAGTTCCATAACATTGGGTCTTCAAGCTGCATACTCTCCATCGCTTGAGTAAGTCCAGAGGACAGACCCATGTTGTCGTCAATCATCTTGTCCTGCATCTCTTGTGTGAGTCCGGAGGAATGCGATTGGCAAATCTGGCAAATGAATGCTTCGTCAATTGGTAGATTATTCACAGCTGCTTCGCTCGTGCCCGCGCAGCTGAAGTGATACCATCTAGAGCATTGTTCACACAGCACTCCGCGGCTGATGACAGTTTTCCCAAATTTGCATGATTCTTTCCCACATGGAGCGGGGTCATCTTTGCTTCCGATCAGTTCACTTGCAAAACGCGCTCTTCGCTGCTTCGTTGTTATCATTCAAGGTTACAGGAAAAATATTTAATAAGTTTATCACAACAATTAGGCTAATCGCATGAACCGGAAAGTTGCGCGTTGAGAAATATCCAGGTTATATGCCCAAAACTCTCTCCTTTCTTTAGCAACACTTACAGAAAACCCTCTATGATCTTCACTGGCAATGGCATTTTCTCTTCCGAAGAAGGCACCACTCAAGGAGATAGCGCTGCAATGTGCATGTATGGGCTAGGAGCTCTACCTCTGGTCAACATGCCTGCGGTTGCCAAGCGCTGCTTTTACGCTGACGATGGTGCTGGTGCTGGCGAGTTGTCCCGGCTCCACGAATGGTTGGATAGTCTATTGTCAATGGACCAAACTATGGCTATTATCCGAATTCGGACAAGACGTATCTGGTTGTGAAAGAATATCTACAAGAAGCAGCCAGCGCCCTCTTTTGTGACACACGGGTCCGCATCTGCACTGGTCGGAAATATCTGGGAGCGTTAATTGGCGATGATCTTGGGAAACGCCAATACCTTCAGAGTAAGTGCGAGAAGTTCTTCGATATGGTAGATAAGATCTCTACTATTGCACAAAGTGAACCTCATGCGGCTAACTCTGGCTATGTTGTCAGCCTTCAAAGAAAGTGGGGTTATCTACAGCGTGTTTTGAACGCAGAAGATGCCACTTTTGACTCTCTCGATAGTACTGTTAACAAAAAATTTGTCATAAACCTGTTCAAAGGACCTGTAAATACTGATATTCGGGATTTGACCTCACTCTCTGTCAGAATGGGTGGTATGGCTATTGAGAAGCCGAACAATGATGTTGCTCTCACATATCAGAACTCTCAACAAAATTTCACCGAGCAAATCTTGAAACAAGAAGTCAGCTTATCCTACGAGGAAGCACAAATAAGCAAAGCTGACATCAGGAGGCAGAATAATGAAGCACATGAAAGAACCAAACTTTCCGCTCTGAAAAAATCAGGTACCGAGCTGCGTGCCATGATGAAGTACACCAATGAAAAAGGAGCCAATCATTGGCTCACCAATAGGCCCGACAAGGAGAAAGGCCTGGTTCTCAGTCGCAGTGATTTCAGGGACGCGATTCGTATGAGATACGCCATTCGTCTCAACAACCTCCCTACGAAGTGTGTCTGTTCAGCCAACTACATTTACAGTCACGCACTTCGGTGTTCCACTAGCGGTTTTGTGAGCAAACGTCACAATGATTTACGGGACATAATAGTGGGGGTGGCCCAGCAAGTTTGTGTTGATGTTAACTCCGAACCTTCGTTACTTTCGGTTCTTCAAGGTGCGGACATCAGAAGAAACACCAGCGAAGGAGCCCGTCTCGACGTTTCTGCTATTGGATTTTGGAGGTATGGACAGAGAGTATTTTTCGACGTGAGGGTTTTCAACCCGCTCGCTCTCTCCAATACTGCTGTAAATCCGATAACCGTTTACAAGAAACATGAGCAAGAGAAGATCAACATGTACCGCTCACGTGTTATCGATATAGAGCAAGGTTCGTTCACATCTCTGGTTTTTAGCTGTTTTGGAGGTGCTTCACCGTTAACAAGTAAAGTACTTCACCGTTAATGCAGTTGTCTTATCTCATCTCCCTGAAAAGAAGTTGCAGTCAATCAGATGCTACTAACTGGGTGAGAACAAGAATATTGTTTTCACTAATGAGAAGTGCGATTCTCTGCCTCCTTGGAACACGTAAGCCAAAACATATTTCGACTACTGACCTCGACTTTAACTCAACACTCTTCAACTCACTGATAATTAATTCCATTTACTACACCCAAGGTAGTCTTTGACTCTATGCCTTTCACTCTTGAACCTGGAGCAGTAGATTTCATATTAGACTTTTCAATCACTTTTATTTATTTATTTAATTATTTATAAAATTATTATGACGAGCAGAATTCAAGACTTACTTCCGCTCTCAGAAGACAGCTCTTTGACCGGATTCGAGAATCCAGAAGGACCTACTTAATTATCCGTCGGATGTCGACAAAGTCGAATTCCTTAGATATTTTTGACGTAGCCTTTTTTGTATTGCAAGTGGTTCGAAGCTCAGCTTTGCCTCTGTGTATAAAAGCGTTATGTAACAATTATGTAACAGTGACGAAATTCTTGTAATTTTCCTTCATATAACATAACTTTCGCTTGGCTTATACAATGTTTATAACTTTCGGCTGGCTAATATGCTCTGCACATTTTCGGTTTGTTTATACTTCTTTAATGCTTTTTTTCAACCCTCAATGGTGATACCTTTACACAATCGTAATTACATAATTTTTTTTGTTTTTGTGTATTTTACTGTGGGCAGTGATATATAGCAAACATAAACCTCCAAGCTTAAATTTAAGAAAAAAGTCAAAATAAAAAAAATGTGAAATTGATGAGAAATTTGGCTGCATTGCTCATATATCTCCTAGTCGACTCATTCACGGCAGCATTTCTGCCTACGAAGCAAAGCTGTTCTATGAAGCACGGAGGAAAAACTTCTCTCCTTAGTTTCAAACGTTTTCAACCTATGAGTGTGTAGTATCGAGTCTGCTCCGAGCAATATCGTACGGATTAGGGGGAAATCTGGTAGTTCTTCTGGTAGCCCCTTGTTATCACCCCAGTCTTCATTTTTTCCTCACTTTCTGGTACGAGGCTATTAGTCGAGGAATTCTTGTTAATTCTCCCCTCGTTTTGTCGTAAGATCTCCAATTCCAGAGCTTTGAGAAAACTTCATAATGCCGTCTGTCCAGTTCACCCACTCGATCGTGGAAGTGGTTGTTAAAATTCACTGCTGTCAAGTCGGTCTCTGCTATCTTCACAAACAGCAACTCTTTGCTCATCGCTTCACGTAGCACATTCTGCTCGCACCTACTTTTACGTCAGGGAATGCGGTAGTCAGAGCAGGACCTATCACCCACACAAATTCGCTGACGCCCCTGATCGAGGCTACGGGAATTTTCCTCATAGATAGGCATACATTGCCGAGTAGGGGCATGCCGCCTATATAACGTCGCACGTCCTCCACTGTTTCTATCGTCTTATCTTCTTCTTTGCCAAAACGATTTTGTTGTAACAGATATTAGATTTTGTTGTAACAGGTTTTGGTGTCAAACTTTTTCACATTCTCCCTCACTTGTTTGGGTTAGCGGGATAATGTCATCAATTTTCCCAGTTTTCCGTGTGTTATTGCTATCAGTGTAAAAAGTCCGTCCAGGCGGAGATTCTGTATTACTTCGGTCAGCAGCACAGCTTGTCATTTTCTGACATTTTCCGATCCGAATGTCACAAAAAGTCCCACGATCACTACGACAGATAGTTCCGTAATGGCCTTCAGGAACTCTCATATTAGATAGCGAGAGAGTCCCGGGTAAATTTTCGCCACGAAATACGCAGTGCATATTGCTCCCAACCCTTCCAACAGGCTATCCGTCCTCTCAAAACCTTCTTCTCCTCGCAGGTTCTATGATCAGAATGTCTCGAGTAGTGTCTGGCACATCCTGTCTACGAACTCCGCTGATTTCTCTCCATCGCTTTCCGCCAAATTCAATTCTCCTACTAGGTAAGCGTAGTCCCAATCTTCGTCGGAATTGTTGGTCCTTCTCAATGGTGCTTCACCCAGTCGTTCCAATACGTCTGATCTCTGCTCTTTTTCACTCGCGCTCTGCTGAAGTTGAAATTGCCGGCACGTTAGTCGCCTCCTCCGTTCTCAGAGCTCCAGTGTCGTAAGTTTAACCTTCAATTCGTCTAATCGTTGCTGGAAGACACGGTTCATCCAGGCTCGCCCTTCTATACTGTCGAAGTCTATTCAATCAGTCGTGAATGTGGCCTGATCCAGAGCTCTCAACTCGTACTCCAAGTCCATTAGAAAATTTTGTCCCACACTTCGACTTACCAGATTACGCACTATTTTGTTCCACCTCACATTTATTGTGTCTTCTTGCTGTAGCTGACTGTGTTGTTGTGCTCATTGGTACAGTGCAGATGGCCAGTACCGCGCACTGAATCTTTTGCCAGACCGCAGTAAGCAAGCACACTAATATTGCTTCCCATTGATCTTCTTTTGAATTTGAGCTTCTGGACACGTTGTTGGCGCGTATCAGAATCATCACGCCTACAATTCGGCCTGGATTCATCAACTCAACCATTCGATAAAGCTGGGCTATTGTGGCAACTCCGAATACCATCCTGTTACTGGTCCATGAGATTCTCAAAATCTGCAACTCTCTCACTAGACTATCGCTCAATATCAAATGTGACATTCCAAGGGTTGGTTGCTGCATGTTCGTCGCTGGACTCTCAGTCGATCTTTTGAAACATGCTCGCATGTCCATGTCCGGGACTCCCGTGAAGTTGTTCTTGATCTGATTTTCTTTGGCCTGTCAAATACACATGACACTTTCTTCATCGGCATCTTGCAGATATTTCTTTCAGGTGGAGATTCAGGTTTGTCATCGTGGCAGCTCCCATTTTCTTTTCATTTCCGAACAGAGCTCTTTGACTCTGCCGGTATCATCAATTGTTCCATAGGGTGCAGTCACCCCGGAACCTGGCGCATTCCTGTCGGCGACGAGTCGAACAGCGGCTTCCACCGGCTGCCTCATAGTTTTCTCCACGACTGGATTGCCTAGGGTGTCGCTTGGGTCCGGGATTGTCATTGTACCGGGACTTTATTGGGACTTGCTCTTCCATTTTTTGACTAGAGTTCGCGAGGAGTCAGAAATTCCATGGGCGATTGCCCACGGGAAATGCTTCCTGCTTGTAACGGTCGTTCCGTTTTCGCTATTCCCAATCGTTCAGATCGCTCCTTGTACTCCTGCTTCAAGCATTCTATCTCTTCTCCCTGCTTCTTGTTCCAATCCTCAAACAGTCTCCTCCACATATCTCTGTCCTCTTCAGTTCTGGTCAAGGTTTTTCTCACTTGGTCCAACTCGTCCTTTGTCTTTTCTTCTTTTTCTACTCTGGCTCTCTTGACTGGCACTGCAACTTTCAACTGTGAGATAAACAAGGCAGCCTCGCTACTCATTTCTTGATGGAAAACTTG